CTCTTACAACATTGAAGCTTATATAGTGTTAAATTGACTTGACTATAAAAGCTTGTTTTAAACTTTTCCTCTTAAATAGTCATTAAAAGGTGCAAGATTTGACCATTTGCCCCCACTTAAAATGACCCATAATTTTTAGAAACTATGGATCATGTGACAAAACAGTGAAACCATAGTAACTGCATCCTGCTTTCTGCCATACATAGAATTAGAAATAGTTATTGTTTTTTTAGTTCAATTATTAATTTGCTTTGCATCTCTAGTGTTTTCTTTTTTCCCTTCTGTGTCAGTCACTGAAGGAAGAGTACTATGTCTGGTAATTTTTAGTTTCTTTCAAATCCAGAGCATTTATTCAGTTGATGATTGCATGATGTAGTACTTAAATTTTGACCCAATAGTAAAATGCTCCTAGTTATTCAACTTTTGAGGAAAAATATTCCATCTTCAGTAAAACATGTCATTTGAGATGTCTCTTCCTTTTTGGTACTTCTAGTTGTCCTCTCTGGCCTCCTTTCATTAAATATAAGGGGAAAGATGGGATTGAACAGACTGGATTTGGGATTCAAATATAACTGTCTCTTTTCTATGTTTCTTCAGCGCAGAATTGAGATACCACCAATAAAAGGCACAATGCCTTCCTCCCTCCCCAAAAGAAGATGATGATGAAGGAAGAAGGGGAGAAGCAGGAGGAAGAAAGAGAAGAAGAGAAGGAGGGAGAGGAGGAAGTGGGGGGGGGGACAGGGGGAAAAGGAAGAAAAGAATGATTATTATTGTTGTTTTAGGTGAAGAGAGTTGGAAGTCTAGATGCCAGGGTTGCTGGCTGACTGGCGGGGTTTCACGTCAAGGACTGTCCCTGGTGAATGAGGTAACCTTGAGCCAGTTAACTTTTCATACTTTAATTTTCTCATCCATAAACTGACAATGATAATGGTTCCTCATTCACTGGAACACTGGTAATAACTTACCACACAAGACACAAGGCTTGAGCTATACTGAGTACTCCTAATGGTGGGTGATTATTTACTGTGCTATCGAGTGATCAGGGGTTTGCTCATCCATTTCCACGCCTATCGTTTATTCAACATTTAGAACTATCCAGGGAGTTCTAATGAAATCCTACTGCCTGAGCTACATTCCATACAAAACCATAAAGAATCCCTGCTGGGAAGGCCAAGCTTCTAAAGGAAGAATCAAATCTGCAAACCACAACTACAACCGACACAGAAGATCCCAGGCAGGCTACGGAAGCGCTGTTGAGCGAGCTTTCTTGGCCCTTACCTATTAGGGATTGCTTTACTCATCTTGGAAGCAAGCATTGTGTCTGTTCAAACCCCCATTGTTTAACCCCCTGCCTGAGAAGGAATAAATGCAGGGGAAATTGGGGTTATTAACAAGAAATGAGTTGCACGACTGGGACTGGGCTTTGCAATTCCTGGTGATAATCTGGGAATACTACATCAGGGTAGAGGAGGAATCACACAGGCATCAAACTCCCTAAATGCATGTTTCCCTGTGTATATTGCCCAAGCCTGAAAGTGCCACAAAATAGCTTTGCGCATTAGCATCCAAGGGGAGGAGCGAGTTGGGCAAAGCTTTTAAATTAATTGAAAGAGACGCTCAGGAACACTCCATGCCATTCTTTAATCTCCGTTCTTCTGTGATAAATATAAAATGACAGGAACAGGCCCAGGCTAACGAGCTGGAGGCGGGACCCCGTGGAGGCTTGCCAGTCAGTGCTCTACAGCGGGGCTCCCACTTTGGTAAAAGAAAGGAAGGAAGGAACGTGTTTGACTGGGCCGTCGACAGCACCAAAGAGTGCTCCAAAGAATATCTACTGCACTTGGGAATTTTACTCTTAACTAGCAGTAATTAACAGTGAAACAGATAACCGCCTGGACGGCAATTAGGAAGCCATAGCAGAAGAAGAACAACCACCACCACCACCAGGATTGATTGACCACCTTTGAGCGTCCTTTCCTGCACTAACGGCTTCCCATGCAACATTTCATCTTACAATAGTGGCTCTACCTGAAGACAACTTCAGTGACTCTCCCTTTCTAGTACACAATACACTGTTGACATAAAATCAGAGCTGACTTAAGAACAATAGAAAAGGACAGACATAACCCCCTGTGACTCCTGAGGTTAAATCATAACAGCACCACTCCCAATACGTCCTCTTGGAACACCTGCCTGGGGGAGAAACGAATGTGGTATCCGGTGGAAACCCAGGCTGCCCTGTGGCTAGGCCCATATGGACCGGAGTCCGTTTGCCAGCTGCGTCACAAAGCCTTTGAGATTTCGCTCCTGCTAAATCACAGAACTGAGACTAGCCATCGGGGCTGAGCTCTCTTTAAATTTCTATTGCATAGAAAGCATGAGCTAAACTTCGAAAACGAACTTCTGGTATGTTTCGGCTAGCTAGCACTCACACATAAAAGCCAGTCACTTTCAATGTGCCCAATTTAAATACAGACGTACGAAGAAAAGCAATGGGGATTTGAATGTGTGTTTACAGAGTTTGAGCTCTCATTCTAACAGAATACGTTGGACAAATGGAACTTGTCTTCTGCCCTGTTTCTGTTAAGGAAAAATTACTAATAAACAGAAATCTTCCCAAAGTTTTGGGTCATCTCAAGATAAGATGTTCATCCCATACAGCACCTGCTAGACACATGCTGTTGTAGTCCTTTCTCTACAGTTAAGAGTTCCCGATGGGGGGCTGGGAAAAGGGCTTAGTGGTAGAGTGCTTGCCTAGCATGCCTGAAGTCCTGGGTTTGATTCCTCAGTAACACAGAAACAGAAAAGGCCGGAAGTGGCGCTGTGGCTCAAGTGGTAGAGTGCTAGCCTTGAGCAAAAGAAGCTCAGGGACAGTGCCCAGGCCCTGAGTTCAAGGCCCAGGAATCACTCATTGACAACACTTGTTAGAAGTAGATAGGTGGGAACTGAATGTTGCACTCAGCCTTTGTGGACCTGGAGACTAGCCTGTCTGCTCTGCCATGTTGGATTTAACACAACATGGCCAAGTGACTTTAGGCACACCACTAAAATAAACTTCACAAAGCTGAGATTCTTCATTCTTACAACAGCAGCAGTATTATCATACATTAATGATTGGCACTGCATCAGAAGAATACTCACTTAATGCTTGGCACTTAACCTGCAGCCTCATGTGTCCTATATGACTCTGTTGGGAAATATCCATCAGTTTAAATAACCCAACCAGACCTCTTTTCATGTCAGGAAGAGAAATTCCAGTGGTTCTTGAGGAGTCAGGAACTGACACTTTGCTGTGGCAATGTTTCTTTCTAGAAACCACCCGAGCCAAGTAGCGTGTGAAAGGTTCAGGGAAGGCCTGCAGTGTCTTCCCTCATCAGGGAAGATATGTGCGGATAGCAACTTGGGTTTTCGCGGTGGGAAGCAATGGAAGGAAAGCAAGGGAGATGATCCTGTTGGAAACAACCCTGGAGAGACACTTCTGCTTCCATCTACTGCTTCATCTGACTACATTCTTATCGTTTTCTAAGCGCACATGAAGCAGCGTAACCCCTGACAGCGCTTACTTGAATGCCTGTGCTTGTGGTCCCCTTCTTCTCGGTCTTAGAGCTAATAGGCTGCCTTGTGGCTCTGTCCTTCTTGGCAATTTCTACTAAAATGATGTCTCCCTTTCCATCTCTCCGTTAATTTAGCGGGAGGACTGCATTCTTTCCCCCCTTCAAGATAAGAAAGATTTCTGTGTAAAATTCAGCACAGGCTAAACATTTTCTAAAACTTTTCACTTCTAGGTAAGACCAAGAAAAAAAGAAAGTGAGAAGAAATACCAGTTATTTCACCCCACTTACAAAGATATCCAAACTCCTGGCATTGCAAGAGGCTGGGTTAGGTACTTAAAGGGTTGTGAAGAACAAGCAAAAGGTAGATCTTTTTCAACTGAGCCGACCAATCTAGTACAGAGGTTTTAAAGCAGTATTCACAAGCAGAATACAACCAGAAAAGTGCCCAGAGATGGATGTCTTTTGCAGAAAGGACAGAGGAGGAGGGATGGATGGAGCCTAGGATGGGTGAGGAATGACACAGGGAGACCTTTTGGAGAACAGGCTTCAGGAGTCAACTCTTCAGGGCAGGAGCACCTCATGGAGGTGAGGGAGCACTCTGAGCATCAGGAGTATGAGGAAGAGTAGCCAGAAAACATGGAACAGAATGGGGACCTGCTATAAATGTATGTCCTTGCAAGAGTTTGGCACTACTGCGTAGAAAATCAGAGACAGGGACTGACACAAAATAAAGTAGTATAGTAAATACGAAGGCAGAGTATTTGCCAATGAAAAGGTGTTTGTACAGAGGTTTGACACAGGAACTTCTCAACAAAGGAAAAGTATGATTAAGGAGTTATATATCCTAAACCATTTCTCAGTAGGTATGAAGCTATGAATCCTCAGACTAGAAAAGCATATTTTCACGGGCAGCAATGTCACGTGAACTGGAGGATGGATCACTCTCCTGCATGTTATTCAAGCACCTCTCACTAAAATATCTTTTGCTCAAGTCACTAAACCAGTTACAAGTCAAACGCTGCCCCCAACTCTCTACCCCACCTCCATTCTACTTTTAAAAACTACTACTTAGAGTTCCAGGGCACACATGAGATGACAAAAGTCAGGAGACTGTGACATTACAGTAGTTTCCAAGGAGCAGTGCCCATTAATCAGAGTGGCTTCAACGGTGAGCACAATTGTTCATAGGCCTTCACAGGTCTACACCTTAGGATGTTTTTCCATCCCAAACTTAGAAAGTACTGCATGAAATATATTCTTAAATATAATTTCTGTCAATCATACCTCCTTTCCTCCTGGGGTCAAGGAACTAAGTTCAAAACATAGTTAAGAAAACATCACGACCTACCAATCAAACTCAGGAGGTGGAAAGTATGGTTTCTTGAAACAAGAAAAGGCCCAGCACCACCAAACTTTCCCTATTCAATCCCCAAACTAGCCACTTACCATATACCACATGCTTGGCCACTTGGGGTCATTGAAGTAGGTAGATTGGGTGCGACTGAGGTCATAATCCCTCTTGGTCCGTTTTTTGACCACCTGCTGTTGGATCCATTCCACCTGCCAAGAAGAAGGAAGCAGGGTGGGTGTTCAAGTTCTTTCACAACACACCAGAGCAACATCTAACACACTGAAATGGCAATCGATCTAACGCATCTCCATTCGATGTGATTAAGGACACAGGCTTCACTATGGCTACTGACATCTTGTAAGTGAATGTGCTCAGGGATTCCCTGGAAATGCAGCTTTTCCTTTCCCCACAAGGCATATCACTTATCATTCAGTAACAGGGTGGGGTTTTTTTAATCCCCTCCAGAAAGAACATATATCACAGTGCATTACAAAGTGGCAGTGTTAAGAATTGGCATTTTTTTTCTTATGCAGGTTCAAATAATAAATATTTCAGGCTTTGTAGACTACAGGGTCTTTGGTGCTCCTATTCCCTCTGAGACGATAATACCATAGACTCTACTTAAATGAATCCATCTGACTGTAAAGTCAAACTTTACAGTAAAACTTTTATATACAAAGCAATTTTAGTATTAATAATACTAAATGCCTCTGATTCCACTATGAATCACGAATTTAATGTTTGGGGGTTACATATCGATTTTCTTCTCCAGAACTGAGGTTTGAACTCAGGGCCTCATACTTGCTCAGTTTGCTTGCTTGGCTGGTGTTCTACCACTTGAGTTATGTCTCTGGCTTGGCTTTTTGCTGGTTATTTTGGAGACCTACTCTCCGATATTTTTCTTCTTGGGTAACTTTGAACTACTATTCTCCAGATCTCAGCCTCCCAAGTACCTAGTCATTAGAACATGGTTTCATATACTAAAGTGCCCTGGAATCCAGACCTCATTTGGGCACATCCCAAATGTCTTTCTGGAACACAGTAGCAAGAGCACTGTTTGAAGAATCAAAAAATCAAATCTTTAATCCTATCTCTTGCACAAAATTCCAGGAGTTATACTGTTCTTGCTGCTCAAAATATTCCTTGCTCTAAAATTCAAACCTGCTACACCTGAGAAAAGCATTAACACTAAGCTATGACCTTTGCTTAGAAATAATCAGAAACCTTGGGTTCAATACAGCGTCTGTAATCTAATAGTAGGAGTATATACTGGGTTTTTTAAAAAAAATTTATAGCGTAAAAACAAAGTTTCATAAAAACCACCTTCAGTTTCAAAGAAACATCTCAAATGCAGTATCCGACTGGTAGAATTGTTCAATTTGTTTCTGAGATTTACTTTTGAGTTCTTCTCATGATTGCTAAGTGAGTCACAATGCTCTGAAATATGAATTGCTCTATCCAACCATGTATCCCTACTTCTACATAGGAATTAATCATTGGGGGGAGACTTTGTAGGCTACTACTCTAGAGCCATATGAGACCATTCAGAAAGATTTTAATCATGGCTTGCAAGTTAATGGTAGGATTACTGAAGGGGGAGAGATGTTCAGGCGTGCTTCTCAACCAAAGTTGAGAAGCATGTAGACACACGCAAGTACATCATGTCTTTCCAGGAAAAATTAACCACATTATTTCAAACAAGCTTTCTAATGAATGACTTTCATTCACTTATCTGTTTGCTCAGTAAGCAATGAAGTGTCAGGTACTTGTCTGGAAACATAAAGATGAATAAGAAATGCATCTAGTTTTGAACTCTCTCTCTTTTTCTCTTGTTCACTCGCTCACTCACTCTCACTCTAGGTGCCCATCTTGGGGCTTGAACTCAGGGCCTTCGCACTATCCTACAGCTTTTTTTTGCACAACATTAACATAATACCACTTGAGCCACAGCTCCACCTTCAGCTTTCGCTGGTGAATTGGAGATAAGAGTTTCATAGATTTTCCTGCCTGGGCTGATTTCAAGCTACGATCCTCAGATTTCAGCTTCCTGACTAACCAGTACTACAGAAGTGAACCACCAGCACATGGCGTAAGACTTGGACTTTACCAAGGTAACATGGCAGTTATTTTACCATTTTCCAGTTCATAAAAATATAATTATCTCTGTAAATGATATCTGATACATCACTGCATTACTTCAGGCATTGGTAACAAATTCCACTATGTAGTTATAGTCACCACTGTGATCTTAAAATGTTTTTTTAAGTCTCATGACAGTAGGTTGAACAAATTCATGTTTGCACACTACATTAGATGTGTGGAGACAGAACTGTTTTCGAAAGGAATCTTCAATTAGTGATGGACCTTCCAATCAGCCTTCAGAAATTCTAAACTGTTCATCTGTATGTGTACATAAACCAGAAAACACCAAGTCTTCCGTGATGTGGATTCCTGGACATCAAGACTGTCTATACTGGGGTGGGAGTGGAGAGTTAAGCCACTGTTAAGCACACACATCTCTTGAGACACGTATACAAACAGACAAATGAGAAGTATAAAAAAAGAAAGACAAATGACAGTTACTTTCCTAGATGAACTACAGGTACTAAAATAGAACATTCAAATCTCTTTACCAAAGAGCATCTCTGCTATAATTTTACCAAAAGGGAAATATTTAATTACAGGGCTTGGTAGCTAGAAAGTGGCCTAGAAACTTGGCATCTAGATTTTTCTGCAAGTCACTCTGTGTGATCACAGGGCTGTCATGCTAAAAAAAAAAAAAAAAAAAAGCTGGTAAGGGTTTTTTTTTTTTTTTAGTACTAATACTATATATTTTGCTTTGGTGTTTTATGGCTCTGAGTCTATAGCCCTAATTTTTTTTTTTTTAGAATGGGAAAAGCACCTCGTGGATCGGAAGATTTCTATGACTGGAAAAACCACAGTTATATTTTTAAACCTTCATCCATACGTGCATCCTTAAGATCTTTAAGGAAACTCAGAGGTAATGCATGCTAAAGATTTCATCCCTTTCCAACAACACAAAGAAAAGTCACTGAAAAACTCGTTTTCATACAACAGTCAAGCTGGGAGAAGAGAATAATTGTGTTTTCTCTCACTCATCTAATTTCTAAAAGTTCTACTTCCAACATATTAAGGAACTACAAGGAATCCTTGTCTACCCTGTTACATTCAGCATGCATGTGCTATAAGATTTAAGTATAGACTCTTCTTTTCCTCCTAGAGCGCTTCTCCCATTGCAGTCAAAACAAACTCTGCATTCACTTATTAGGAACCATGGCATAAGCCAAAAGATTAGCTCTTACTTGCCCAACACAACACATGAATAGAAATACTTCCCTACAGGCTCATCTGAGTTCTTCAAATTTGCCAACTTTCTAATGTCATACATGTAGCAGAAAATGTATCAATAACTTGAGGGGACAAAAAGATGTCATGTGATTTCATACTATATGCTATTACTGAAATATTGATGGGAAATAAATTTACAATATCATTTTTTAATGTACCCTGCATTGAGTAGGAAATTAGTTCCTTAGACATTAAATTAGAATCTAGATAATAATGCAGACATACACGTATAACAAATGTCTACAGATAGGTAAATGGAATACAATAAATGGTAAAGAAATTGACTCAAGATGTAAGAAGATAGAAACTGGGGGAGAGGCTTAAATGGTAGAGACTGCTATCCAAGCATAAGGCTTTGAGTCCAATCACACACAATCATAGATTACTCTATCCCCAATGTAGCAGTGTTATGAGGTATGAAACCTTTCAGAGGTAGGTCCTAACAGGAAGACCTTAGGTTAATGAGGGTGTGATCTCCAAAGGGACTGTGGCATCATGATCTCTCTTTGTGTATCTTGATATAACTACTCCTCCCTCCAAGTCCAGTTGCAATTATGTGTAGCCATCCACCATGCTCTGAAGAGTCGAAACCAGGACCTACCAGATTTTGGACCTTGAACTTTCAAAAACACATGTTAAAGCTCCTTTTCATTATAAATATCCCTTCTATAACAGGAATATACATTTTGTTATAGAGAAAAATTAATAAATGTATTTTAGTATTGACATTTCGCTCCTAAACCATAAAACCATAAGGTAACATCTTGCAGAAATTTTCTAAACTCCGGTCAAGAAATAAGAAATACATAGTGGCTAGGTACCACTGGTTCACACCTATAATCCTAGCTATTAAGAAGGCTGCAAACTGAGGATTGCAGTTCACAGCCAGCCCAGGCAGGAAAGCTATGAGACTATTATCTCCAATTAAATACCACACGAAAAAAGAAGTAGAGCTGTGTGGTTGAAGTGGTAGAGTACTAGCCTTGAGAAAAAATGCTCACACACAGCACCCAAGCAATGAATTCAAGCAGATAAGCAAGATGATCATGGTTTAAAAAAGAAGAAGTAAAGAAATAACTAGTGAAAAAATGTCCAAGAATCGAGTAAGATTATATATGTAGACAAAAGTATTCTATTCTTTAAATTTTTTTCCATCTAGTATCATAAGAAATGAAGTATTAAATATTTAAATTATTTTCCATTTAAGAAAAAATTACTTGAATTATAATTCATTTCTGTTAACTATCAACAAAATAAAGTATTATGTTTTATATAATGAAGGATTTTTATTGATTTGCTTTGAACTAGTTAATGATTACAGATATCAAAGGCTTATATTAAACAAAACATCTGGTCAGGAATACAGGAAGTCATATTTTTAAATGTCATTTTTAGAAGAAAGTAAAATAAGTATTGCATGTACATTTGGAATAATGTTTTAGAAGACAATCAATACGGGACAAACTAAAAAATGATTCTGTCATAAATTTTTATATTTAGTTAGCCTTAGACAAAGTTTAAAAATGAAGTAATATCACTTCAGTCTTGTCATTTTATGTTTAATAAAAATGTCATAGCATTATAGTTCTTAAATCAGAGAATTAAAGTTAAACTTCTTAAACTAGTTGGCAATCACCTACTTCTAAAAATTTAACATTTTAAATGTGTTGTCTATTTTTACCTTTCACGTCTCAGGTGACATACGACATGGGAAAGTAAGTGGTTTCATCCATCTAAAGCAGTGAAATTTATTCCCCATCCTCAGAGCCTTTCGGCTTATCTTTGTTCACTCAAAAAAACTGACTGGGGACTGGGAAGGTGGCTCAGTGGTAGAGTGCTT